ACTTCGCGGTTAATTCCCAGCCGCCCCCCCCCCTCTTTTTCTCTTCCTCCCGCTCCCGGTGCCAGAGCCGGCCATGGCGCAGGGGGCGGCGGGCGGGCGGCCCGGGCGGCCCCGCCGCTCCTAGAGCCGCCGCCGGAGGCAGCCGCAGCCCCCCGGGATGAGCGGAGCCGGGATGAGCGGAGCCGGGATGAGCGCCCTCGTCTTCGACGACCCGGCCCTGGACGGGCTGGCGCCGTCCCTCGGGCTCGCCGGGGCCAGCGACATCGACACGGCGCTGCTCAGCGACATCGACGGTGCGTGCGGCGGGCAGCGGGCCCGGAGCGGCGGGCAGCGGCCCCGAGGGCACCGGGCTCGGCGCGTGGCCGCTCCCGGAGCGCGCGCGGGGCTCGAGCGGGACCGGGCGCGTGGCCGGGGCCAGGGCTCGGCGCGTGGCCGCGGCTGCAGGAACCGGGCTCGGGGCACGGCCGGGGCCCGGGCAGCGCCCGGGGGGACCGAGCTCGTTGCCCCGGCCGCGTTTGGGGCGGGGGGCGAGTTCGGGGGTGCGGAGCCGGGCGGACCGGGCTCGGGGGGGCCGTACATGGCCGGGGCTGGGGGCACCGTCTCATTGAGGGATCCACGTCGGGGGCGGGGGGGCCGCACACAGGACACCCGGGTCTGGGTCCTCCCGCTCCCCCGGTGCTGGGGCAGCCCCGGCCGAGCCCCCCCATCCGCAGCGCGGTGTCGCCTCTAGCCCCGCCCCGCCTGACGTCACCGCGGGGTTACTCGCGGTCGTTCCCTCCAGGACGCCTGGGCTCCTCGGGCCGCGCGCCCGCGCCGGGAGGAGGCGGCGGGGGGAGATGGGGACCATAGGGGTGCGGAGACCCCCCCCCGGGGGCCGGGACCCCCCCGACGGCGCCGAGGGGGAGTGGGGGTCGCCGCAGGCAGAGYCACTCGGCTGGGCTGCCTCGCAGGTGGCCTTAGTGCAGGTGGCTTAAACGTGACTTAAGCAAGGATGAACCTCCCAGGCCAGAGGCCACGGGCAGGATGATCCGGGCACCCACGAGGCTGCGGCCTTGGAGGCTGCACAGAGCCGAGGCTGGGGGAGAGGCTGTGAGCCTCCAAACGGGAGATAAGGGCTGAACTTTAGCTCTGCAACCGCTTCCGAAGGGAAGTTGCAGCTCCCGTCCTTGTGTGTCCACACGCGACCCCGGCRCTCTGGCCTGGCTGGCGGAGGGCAGGACTCGGCCCTGCTGCTTGCAGGTGGCCGGAGGCCCTGGGCACCGCGGAGGTCGGTCTCCCGCGCAGCTGGAGGCCACGCGTTGTCCCCTCCGCAGGGGTGACTGTGCAGGTGGCAGGGCAGGCTACTTATGTGGAGCACTTCTTTGAGGATATCTGTAAAGGACAGACAGATAGATGGGCAGATAGATGGACAGATAGATGGATAGATGGATGTGCAGCCCCTGTTGCACCTGCCAGCCTCCTGCTGCGGAGGCCCTGCCTGTGCCTTCACTCGCACCCCATGAGCAGCGATGGRAGCCATCGCCCTGTCCCTGTCCTTATCGTCCTGCCCAGGCAAATGGCCCAGAGAGGGGTGCTGGACACCCTGGGGTCTGCAGCTGGTGCTGGGTGGGGGGCTCCGGGCAGAGGGATTTTGCTGGGCTCCTTTCCGACAGCTCCCACCCCACGGWTTTCCCTGCTCCTCCTTTTCCCTGCTGCTCCCTCTGGAGCAGCGAGGCTYGGGATGGCAGCATGGGCAGCGTCCCGGCATGGGCAGCGTCCCGGTCAGCACCCGCTGCGTGAGTGCCTGGAGCAGCTGTGCCGGAGCGGGAGCGTCAGGTGGGATATAAATATCCCKGCGGATGCCGCGCGCTTTGGCGAGACACGGAAGGCAGGAGGAAGAGGAGGGCTGAGATGGGAACGAAGCGGCCACCCGCTTTGCTCACACCACCGTCGTTTCCTCCCACACCCGCCTGGCACCGGCRTTTGCCACTGCGGCATCTMTGGGGACATGGGGGCTGCACGGGGKGGCCGTGCCACCCTCGGTGGGTGCGAGGGGAGCAGAGGGGTGCGCGGCAGGCGCCGCTCACCCAGCGAAAGGGTTAACGCGGCCTGACCTGGAGTAACCCGGGGTTACGTTGGGCTGCCCGCGAGTAACCCGGCGGCTGCACCTTGGCGCGGCCGGGGGCGGCGGGCCGGGCGCGCGGGCGGCGATTGGCGGAGGAGCCATCACCCCACGGCGGCCGCGCCGCCCGGGGAGGGCCCTGCGCCCGCCGCCCGCCCCGCCTGGCCCGCTGCCCCACCGGCTGGTTTGGTTCTCCCTCCTCTTCCTCGGTGCACGGGGCAGCCTGCCCCGGAGCTGCTGGTGTTTAACCCTGCACGTCCCCAGCGCGCCAGCGTGGGCTGCTGCCCTCGCTCCTGCCCCGCTCTGCGGCGCATCCAGGCGCTCTGCAGGATTCTTGTGTGCAAAGGGGGATGGTGCCGCTATAGCCCCGTCACCCCCAAAATCACCTTGGACGCGGTCGAGATGGGCACTGCCACCCTGGCTGGTCAGAGGCCCCGCTGCCAGCTCCGTGCCTCGGTTTCCCCCCTTGCAGCAGCATCTCGGGTGTTGGGGGGTGGTTTGCGGGCCCCGGTGCCGCAGGGTGCTGCGGGCTCATGCTCACGCCCCGCTCCCGCAGACATGCTGCAGCTCATCAACGCGCCCGACAACGACTTCGCGGCGCTCTTCGACGCGCCGCCCTTCGACGCYGCCGCGCCGCCTGGCCTCCCTGGCRCCTACGGCGAGTCCCCCGCCACCAGCCCCGCCGCCAGCGGGGTCTTCACGGCCGCCCCGGYGCTGCCCCCCTTCGCGCCGCCGTCGCCGGCCCCGCTGCTGCCGCCGGCRCCCACCCGCCCACCGGGCGTCAAGGAGGAGCCGGCGGCCGTGCCGGGCGCCCAGGCCGGGCTCAGGCTGGCGCCCGCCTTCGTCCCCGCATCCCCCGGCCAGTTCAGCCCCCAGCCCCTGGGGGGCTTCCAGCACCAGCACGGCTTCCCCGGTGAGCACGGGGATGTGGCGGGGGGGGTGCGTTCAGTGGGTGCCGCCGGGGCGCCCGTGACGCCGCGCTCTGCTCCGCACGCAGCCGTGCAGCCCGGCGGCAGCGGCACC